AGCATGGCCAACAAAAGGCATCAGTCTGGAGAAGAATATCGTAATCTATTCTTCTCTTGGGAAAAAGGCAATATACATAACACAGAGGCTCCTTTTTACAGAAATATAAATTTTTTTCCTGCCAAAGTTCATATTTCACAGCTTGTTCTCCATGGCCACAGTGACATTTCAAGAGTTTTTGATGCACAGCAGTGAAGCCCTACACAAGTGCAAACTACTCCATTTTTTAAATCTAGGGACAATTCAATATAGATAGAAAATGTTTGCTCTTTCACCCTGGCTGAAAAGCAAACAGTCTGTGTTGATCATAAATAAAATACAAGAATGTACTAAACATTACCAGTTTATATGTCAGTTTTTCGTTTTTCCTATTTTTACTTGTACTGCTACATCAGGCTTGGACAACAAATGAGCCACTAAGCCAAATAACAACTCGCTTATCATGTAAAGCACTTCAGTGGGTCTTGATAATCTCCATTGTCGCAGCTTGCCTGGGACAGCAAAAACATGCAGAGAAAAGAACTTCATTTGGTTTGAAAGATATGCAGTCTGTAAGTGTGTGTGTATCTTTTGACCATTATTTAAATAGGACCTTTATTTATAACAATTTCTCATGGACCACTACAGAAATTGGATGTTTCCACACCAATTTCTCATGACTTATTTCGAAGGACATGTAACAATAATAATCTTTAACTGCAGAGCTGGAAGGGACCCAATGGATCATTGAGTCCAGTCCCTGTCAAGGAGGCACAGTAGGGAATCAAACTCCCAACCTTTAGGTAAAGATAAAGGTTCCCCTTGACATTCAGTCCAGTCGTGCCCTGCTTTAGGGGGTGGTGCTCATCCCCGTCTCCAAGCCGTAGAACCAGCGTTTGTCCGTAGACAGTTTACGTGGTCACGTGGCCAGCGTGACTAGACACGGAATGCCCAACCTCTAGCTCCACATTAAAAATGCAAATTAATTTGGCATGTTTGGAAAAATATTTTTGCACAACAATATATGTTGCAGGTTCTAACATAAAAATAACACACTTTTTCCTCTCACACACTATTGGAAACATTTCTAAGATAGCTCCCACTTTGATGTATATCTTTAGTATCACCTGTAATCAAATCATGCAATTTTCTTCCAAATTACAGTAGTTTTTATTCATATATTAATAGATTTTGCCAATCAATCATCAGAATTCATTGAAAATATGCTAAAATTTATTTGGACAGCCTTATGTTTGTCAACAATGAATGGTCAAAAGTGTGTCTCAGAACCTCATATTCTGCATATTTAAATAATCAATAGCTTCAGCTAATAACAGAATCTGCATGCAACCTTCAGTAAAGTGTAAGAAATTAATTTTCATTTGAAACTTCTCAACGTCTCATCCTATAATTGTTAATGATATCACTATTTGTTATTTTTCTCATCAGAGAAACATTTTAAATTTGTTAATGCAGTTACATCCAGTTGTTAGTCTCAACTACAGTGGACTCATTAAATCAATGCTTTTTACATAAATGTTGATTTAACAAATGTGTGCAATAGGCGTACTTATTTGGGAGTAACAATTGGATCTAGCCCTTTGTCTTTCTGACAACCATTTCTCTTGACACAAAATATATTGCACAACTGACACTACCCATATAATAGACACATGATTAAAACTATACTGTTGAATAATTGTTCTTATGTGACTCCATGACTATATGAATGATAAAATGTTACACAATTTGGTAGTTGTTTGAACAGAAAGTGTAACATTGAAGACATCTTATACAGTAATATGTCTGCTGGCCACTTTACATGTTCATGGCAAACCATGTTATTTTAAACTGTACCCTTTTTTCTTGTAACAACTGAAATTGAGGTGTTACTTTCACTCTCTTCCAGACAAACATGAAGACATATTAACTGGTTAGACTCCACATGTGGCCCAACAAAGAATGACATACTGCAGTAACCATCACATAATTATAGGTTTCAAGCCTGTGGTTTTTATAGCTCAGAAACTACATTTTAGTTGACTATTAGTGAACAGTGTTAATGAGGAGTTTGTTAAAAGGCTAACTTTCAAAACCCACTTTCTCTCTGTTTATGGGTTTTCCAGTTCAAATGTGTTTCTGCTAAATTCATTCAACGGCTAGTTTTATTTATGAGGACTGTGTGCTGTCCCTTAACCCACAGTTCTCTGGGAGGCTGGCAATTAAAGAAAAAAGTCATATCAATTTGGATACAGAATCAAATGGAAAACCATAGCATCAAAAGTAACCAAGAAGAAGAAGAAGAAGCCTAACTTCCTGCAGCCCCAATATATATATATATTTTAAAAAACAAACTTTAAAATTGAGAGGCCTAGACTACATGAGTTACTTAAAAAGCCTAGGTGGGCAGAAGGATCTTCAGCTTATGTTTGCAAGACTACAGGGCTGATGCCACACAAATCTCTGTGGAAGGTTGTTCCCTAATCAGGGTGTGATTACCACAAATGGCCCCTCTCTTGAGGTTATCTTTGTCCCTTTATGCACTCAAAGGAGTAGAGCCTTAGATGACATTAAGGTTTGAGTAGGTAGAAACAGATAGGAGAAGACAGCCTTGATCTAGGTTTTCAGGTACCTTGATCTCAAGTCATTCTGCAATTTGAGCAACATTCAATATGTAGATAGGTCTGTGGACTAAATTAACTCTTTTGTGATTCTGACATAATGATGGGCACAAATTGTACCATTGTATTCCCATTCAGTAGTCTCTTATGTCAGAGATGGACAAAGTGCACTCCAGACTTCATTGGACTCTTCGAAATCCAATGCTTGCCAGGGGTTGATGTGAAGGGCAGTTGGGCAACAACTGGAAAGCTGCACTTTGCCCAGCATGCCTTAGGTGCACAGTTATGCCAATAGATATACGAAATTTAGTCAGCTCCAATGGATTTCCACTTAAGTCAATTAATTATGGCTTTAAAAAAAGAAAAGCATCCTTCTCTTAAAGTAAACCAAGTAAATCAACAAATGGAGAACTTTCATTTATGAACAGAAGAGTGCATGGCTGTACTACATCACTCTTCGTTGCTAACTTTCCGAAGAATGATGTTATCAGATTCTGAACATTTGATTTTCTTAGCTAATATTATGGGGTTTTGAGGTTAATTTACAACATGAAGCATAATAATACAGATACAAGAACAATTATGACAATGCTTTGAAGTACCAATGTAACAGATAGACCATGTCTTTCACAGCTTTCATCAATACAGAATCTGTGTTACAGGCAGTATTGTGTTAGAGGTTTTACCACCAGACAAAACAAATAGATCACACAGAATAGAAGAAATTACAGACGAGAGTATTCCATGAACTTTTGATGGCACATGTATCAGTTGTCAAATTCAACTTTCAATCTTTTAATATGAACGTATTTACTGTTCTTATGTACAGTACACGTAGGTTAACGTGTTCAAGGAAAAGCAACAACCACAGGAAACTTGTATAAAGCTTGAATGAATTACTAATTTCAGTGCTTCTAAACAAATGTGAAATCACCAGCACAAAATTAACAAAAGTCATTGATTTGTATTGTACCACCAATTGATTGCACTTTCTCAATTTTTGTTTTGAGTGTTACATCCAAGATATGAGAAAATGAAACTTGACTCAGATAAAGCTTTATTATACAATAAATAGAAATAAATACCTCTATTTACAACATGAGCAAGCAAATATTTAAAAAGAATTCCACCAGCAGAAGAGAAAATCATTGTCTGTATTACAAGGAACAATGATGCACAGGTTGAGGGGGAGCATTCATGCATTACCCAGATCTCTGTGTATTTGATATACCATATTGGCATGTGGTCTGCCCATTAAGTCACTAAAAACTTTGAAATAAAGATATGAATAAAAACACATACTAATACTTCTAGATCTTCTGTTTTTTACTAATAAAATAAAATAAAAACATGGCTTTCACATGAAAAAATCTTATTAGTGGGAAGTAATAATTAGTATTGACAATTTCAATGGTAGCCAACAGGTAATTCTGGTGAATGTGTTGTGTATGTTTAAAGGATTTTTCACAGCACTGGATTTCTTCCTTCAATCACTTACGTGAGAATAAAGAGATATGCTCAACCTGTTCATGTGTGAATTAATATGTAATGAAATCATAAGACACTGGCATGGAGCCGTTCAACACTCTGACCACATAGTCTACTACATACAGTAACACAGCGTTCAATACAGAATTCATTCAATAGCCATGTCTGAGACTGCTATCATTTGTTTTCCAGTGAACATGATAGAAATGAGTATCACACAATAACTATCTTCACATCTCTCTTCTTTGTACATGTATTACCCATACCTATGGCACAAATTGTGGTCATGTGAAATGGCTCTATGAGAATACCAATGCATATCTGTAGGGCTTCTTTGTGAGAGGGAGAAATCTCAGTTGGCATTTCACTATTCTGCCTGAGGAAGGAGAGCTCCCTTCCTGTATGGGCCCATGCCTGATTCAGTCCCACTGCATAGAGAAACTCCAGTGTATGCTTCTCATGACTAGAAATGGGCACGAACTGGCATTTCATGCCAGTTCGCTTTTCAGCTGAATAGGTGACCGGCACTTCCCTACCCTGCCCCCTCTGGATGCTGCCTCTGAGTGGGTGCCTGCCTGATGAGGTAGAGCTGGGAAGCGTTGAACACCTGTTTGACCAAAAAAATTCTCTACGCATGACCATTAAAAAAATGCAGTGGTATCTTGACTTACAAACATTTCGAGTTATGAACGGCTACGTTCGCAAAGTGTTGCTTCGACTTGCAAATGGAGCTTCGACTTACGACTGAAAAAAAAACAACCTTTCCTGCCCTTTTTTTGACCTAAGTTAATCTTAGGACAAAAGAAGAAAAATAAATAAAAAAATCTCCTCCTAGTGGTAGAGTACGGATTAACTGGCTTTGCATTAGTTCCTATGGGAACTAATGCCTCTACTTGCGAACAGTGCCTCGACATAAGAATGAAAAACAGCCGGAACGGATTAAATGGTTTTCAATGCATTCCTATGTTCATAAGTTGAGGTACCACTGCATGGAGATACATAACACATTTCCATGGCTGTGTTGTGTACTCAAACATTTCTCCTAGGTGATTTTTTTAAAGCCAAACCATGTGAAGATTTAGCACTGCAGCGAAGAAATTTCCTAGCTTCCTGTGTGTGTGTTTTTTTTTTTCATGTTCACCTCTTGTTCAACATAGGACAGTGCCAGATCATGGGCAGCTTGATGCCTTCTCTGGTGAATCCTGTACAGGCAGGATGCCATTTGCCACAGAAATTGTAATAATCCTGCATAGTCGGGTGTTTTTTCTTTACTTTCTTAGTGAATCCTGCATAGGAAAGATGTTATTCTATTCAGGAATTGCAATAAACCTACACAGCTTAGTATTCCTTCCAGAAAAAAGTAACTGTAAAATTTTCAAGAAACCTGACAAGAATAAAAGGTATGCAGAGTAATCTTTTTGTGAGGGGGGAAAATTGGAATTTCCCCTGTTCTCTCAGAGAGTGAGAGACTGCAAGAGTCACATCCCTTCTTGGTGCCCTTATAAATCCAAATGCATGGTGACATTCAGTAATGTGAGATAAAGTAGCTAAATAATGTCATAGTTTGTTCCTATGGTTGGGAACTGTTTCACTCCCCTGGAATTAGTTATTTATTTATTAAAAATATTTTTATCCTGGCTTTGTCCTTAAAAAGACACTGAGGTGGAATAATGTGTTTGCAACTTGGGGGGAATGGTGGCTGAACTGGTTTTCTAGTTCTGATGGGAAACGTATCACAAAGCATATATATGAAAATAATTGCTCATGGCTCCATAAATGTTATAGGTGAAAAGATCTGCAGAATGTAACAGTTTCTAATGACACTTATAACGCCGTGCTATATTCTGAATGTGTTGCATGTAGCTATATGTAACAGATATTATGTGAGAATGAAAACATTGTACACGAATATAGGATCATGCTATTTCATATGTACATACTTCTGTCTTATTTTAAAATCTCATAGTTCTGCAAGTGTCGGCTGGCCCAGTTCTGACAGCCTTCAGTTTCTTACTGACATGGGAATGGGCTTTATGTATTTATATGAGACCGTAGTATAGGTAGATTTTGATTACACTCAAGTAGCAAAGATGTACAATTCACATTTTGAAAAGAAAGTCTGACTTTTACTTTACATTCTGAAAACAAGACTTCTTTATTACACTCTGGTGTGTAATGCCCTGTAAGATAAGGTCAGAATTGCATTCCCAAGTTCAAAGCCAATCTCACAGATGTGACAGAATGAAATATGCAGTACGACCAAGGTTTTCTACACATTTCATGTTCTTCTCAACTCTACTATATATTCTTTCCCCCACAAGCTTTGGAACTAAAAAGTCAGATGATGTACTTAGTTGCCTACTTTCTCTCAGTAACCCTTGTTGTAAACAAACAACAATCCTTGCCAGAATATGGAACGAAACTCTACTGTTCATTTCACACGAGGATGATGTGTCTCAGATGGTTTAACACTTTTAAGCTGTTCATGAGCATCTGCATTCTGGCCAAGCGGTGGCCAAAGAAATGCTGATTTGGCCACACTAAGCTGTCACTCAACATCTAAAGTTCTTTTTTTTCTGGTAGTCAAGATTAAGTTTTCTGAAGGCCGATAGGAAAGGGAACTCATTTTTGTTGACAGGCTAGAATGTCTGACACTGGGAGGGATATATTTCAGAAGCTTAAGGAAATATTTTCTGAAGTTCTTTCCAAAAAAGCCATAAAAGACGGGGTTGAGGCAGTTGTTGAAGTAAGCCAAGCAGATTGTGAAAGGCATAGCTGTATCCACAATATCAACAATGTGACAATTCACAATCACACGCAGCTGAATCAGCACATCGAGAAATGTGAATATTTGATGGGGGATCCAAGAAAAAAAGAAAAGAAGGACAATAGCCACAATCATCTTAAAAATGTCATCTCCTCTGGTCTTGTTTTTCTGAATCTGGTAAGCCTTTTTCAGGGTCTTCCAGATTAATATGTAGCTGGTTAAAATAATCACGAAGGGGATCAAGAATCCCAGCACATTTTTGGACAACCCTAATCCAACTTGGACAGTGGCATTGTTGGTTGTGTTGGTAGGGGTCTCATAACGAAAAGCACATACTGTTATATTTTCATTTTCAATGAAGTAGACACTACGGTACATGATAACTGGCAAGCTGGCAAGGGCTGCCATGAGCCAGATGATAATGCAAGTTACCCGGGCAATGAGCATTGTACGCTGAAGCCTGGACTTCATTGGATGCACTATTGCCATATAACGGTCAATGCTGAGGCATGTCAAGAGAAACACGCTGGCATATAGGTTGAAGGTTGCTGCTGCTGAAGTTATCTTACACAAGCAGTTGCCAAAAGGCCAGCGATACTGCATGGCTGTGGTGTATGCCCACAGTGGCAAAGTCACGAGGAAAGACAAATCAGCCAGGGCTAAATTGAACAGAAAGACACTTGCCACTGTTTTCAGCTTCATGTAGAAGAAAATGACAATCACTACCAAGCTGTTTCCGAAGATACCTATGAGGAAGATAATTGTGTAAACAGTTGGAACCATAATCACTATATAGTTGTGTCTTCCCAGTGAGGAACATTCAACGTGGACTCTTTCAACCGTCTGTTCTGCTGAGGCGTTTACAACCATCTTGATTACTTCAGTTGGAGGCTCTTTGGAAAACTTATACCAAGCTCATCTGAGGGAATAAAAACAAAACCCAAGGTAATTATTTTTGCTTTACCATTGCATTTCCTCATTGACAGATATTTAAGACACAGTGATCAATTAAATTCCAGATTATAGCAATATCTCCCTGTATTACAACCCAGATACTTGACCTATTTTTAGGTTGCCCTGGCACAGATTCTGGCTCATAGATAAGTGGATGAGCAGAGGCAAATAGTCACAGCTGGTATCACCAATTATAAAGCATTGATGGACTTGTGAGTGGAGGGATATGATCCGCCCAATCAGAATCTGGAGAAGTTCATTTTTGGACTACCGATTTAAGAATCGCATAGCCAGTATATGCTAGTAGTGAATTTCTAGGAGCTGTAATCTAACTTTTCTAAGCTTTCTCACTTGGGTAGATGGACAAATAGCCTGATCTGTATTAAGGCAGCTTCCTATACTCCTACTGCAAAATGAAGAAAAAGTGCACTTGGAAAGGAGCCCAGCAACGAGCATTCAATGAAATAAGCAGTATTTCCTATCTGAGCAGCTCATATATTTCATATATTTAAAAGGAATGGGATGCAAAGATAAAGCAAGCTATCCATCATAGTTAACAAACAAGAAATGGGAAGAAGTGTGGAAGGGAATTGGTAGGACTGTGCTCAGATCCTCTGCCTGATTTATGGCTTCCAAATGTTTCCTCTGGCAGTTCAATTGCTGTTGTTGTTCACATGGAATGTTTAATCATCCTGGGGGGCAAGAGTCCAGATCTGCACCTCAAACTGCTATAATTCTCACTGGGATCACAGGTTGCCCATATTTCTCTGTTTTCCCCATTTCTTGTGATTTTTTTTGCCAAGTGACATAGCACCAGATTGATATAGCAACTTGTGACACTGTGGTACTTAACTGATGTAGCACTAAATTGGATAATAATAATTAAAATAATAATTAAGAAACTGCTCAGGGGAGACAAAAAATATACTCATTTGAAGGGGATGTTCTGTTATACTGGCACACACCCTCTGGTGACATGCAGTAAGCCACTGAAGTGGGAGAGCATCCCTTTTAAGTGAGCACCTCTTGCCTTTCCTTTGAACAATTTTTAAATCATGCCTTTCCAATGCATTGCTATGTCAGATAAGCACTGCAATTTCACACAATCCCTTCACCAGGAGAAAAGCAGCATAAAAATGTGATAAACAAATGAATAATGAAAAAGCTGTTATGCCCCCATGGTCAATGTTATCCTAGGACACTTCCCTTTGGGAACAAAGCAGTATAGAAACAAAGAGACAAAGAAGTAATGGAAGCAGAAACTCTACAAAAAACACTAGTCTCTGTTGAACAAAAAGCAATGAATGCCCATGAAAAAGACCAGTTGTACTTGTGATTAGCTGTACTATATGTCGTGTCATTAACAGAAAACACATATAATTTAATCATGTTGACTCTGGCGCAAACTGTGGGATAAACTATCATGCAGTCGTACCCCAAGTCAATAATTTCCTTTCACCACAATATGTATTGTATGTGTGCAGGAAAATAATATGACAAAAATAACCAGTAACTTTGGTTTGGATATATTTTATGCTTTATTGTACTCCTTCTTAAACGATGAGGTTATTGACATGGGACTCTTCCAGGAAGGTGTGGTTTGGATCAGGGCACTGAATTGTCTACACAACAGAATCCGCTACCTAGATCCAGAACACAGCTTTAGGGAACAGGCACTTGCTGCAAAGATAATGTTGTGGCATATTGTCATCTTTTGCCAGATACTGATAACTAGCTAGCCATGCCCTCCTATGGGATTTGATATGCTACAAGAAGTTCATACAGGGTATTACAGCTTCGTCCCTTAGTCATCTGTTCTTCTTTTTCAAAGAATGATCAACATTCCATGTCTATTGAGCATGCTCAGTTTTCACTGGTTTTTGAGTCCCTCTCCATTTTGAAAAAGATTTCTGTAAATCTTGGATATTCAACTTCGTTTGTTAGTGGGCTCATTTTGGATCCAATCCTATTGGTACTCAACACCTCATTTTCAGTTAGAGGAGGAGATGAAGTCACTGATTATAAGGTTCCTGTGGGGTTTTTGATTAAATTTCATTAAATTTTGATTAAAATTTGTTAGCAAATCCAGTTCATAGGTCACTTTTTGTCAGATGCCTTTTCCACTTGTACGGAGACAGTGAATTTATTGTGGAGCAGTAAAAAACATTAAGTTCTTCTGTCAATTTACATTCATTTCTCTCAAAGCCTGAGCAGAGTTGCAAAATGTATAGCCCCAGACATTTGGGCGCTCTCATGTATGCACATAGATCATAAGTAGAATCTACTGTTTTGATGGTCCCACCACCACCATTGGCTTTCACTGTATATACAACAAAAATGTGAAGAAAAGCCAACATGCCCCATGTCCTTAAGCTCCTGGCACACACATCAAACCCACCCAACTGTCCTCAGATCAAAATTTTCCATGTAAATGTAATAGTTTTAAATAGTTTCAAATTCAAGGAAAAAAATGGAGTATAATCCAGTCTTTAAACGTAATGACTGACCTTAGAAACCTGGACATTATGTCATTAAGAAGAAATGAAATGTTGTTCCTTGCACAGTGTTATCTTATCAATATAAACACTAAATGTAGCATAACTGTTAGTTTCCGTGTATCTTGGTGTTCCGTTTCTGTTATATTATAGATAGATACTGTAAACATACAAATGACTTTCTTTCACAGGATATGTTTTGGCTGCTCTTCGGAGACCAAGACAAATAAGAGAACAAAATATGTTTTTAGTGAATCATTTAAGAGGTCGTCTTGGATCATGGAGGTTTTCTAGCTATTAATGAGAACAAAATATTTTGGCATTCAAAAACTAGCATATCAGAGCTTTACATGGACCTCTTGCCAAATGCTAATTTGTGTCTGATTAGCAAGCATGTTGGCTTTACTGACTTTGGATAAGCCAATTCACTGTGCTTCAAGTAAATTCAAGCCAAAGCAATGTGGTAACATAGTTTTTCAGTGATGGTGAAATATTTGCTTGAAGCAATTGTATACTTCTTGTTGCTGCTTTGAGTGCCATTCCTTTGTAAATAGTAAGAATAGTAATTAGGTGTATGTGTCTTCCTCCAAATTTCACCATACCCAAATAAGGGCGCACAGATTGGTGCCCAGCTATTCTGTGCCATTCTGGAAGTACTTCAACCTAATCCTTGTCCAGATCCATGCTGGTATTTATGTGTTTCTGGTTCTCTGGGAAAAGCTCATTCCTGCCAACAGGTAAATGCAAAAAGCAGGGCCGGGTTCAAGCAAGGAATAGGGGCTCTGGCCGGCGAGTGGCTGTCTCTAATTCCCCCTTTCGCAAACACCAGAAGAAAGTCACCATTGGCTTTCAAAGGCAGCACCCAGAAGAGAATGTGTGGGGGACTTTAAAAAGCAAATAGACATTGCCCTCCTTCTTAAAAGAGCACTACAGGAAGCCTGTCCTTTTCTACACTTACTGTCCTTTCTCTTACACACTTTCTCTTTCCTAGATCTGAAATTAGCAGTGCTGAGGCTACAGAATGGAGTTTGATGATTTAGTCAATGATGTTAAAGCAATTTCCTAGATCTGAAATTAGCAGTGCTGAGACCACGGAATGGAGTTTGAAAACTCAATTTCTAAGATAAAATGTTCTCTTGTTCTATTTTGCTACAAGCTCATCTATTTCTCTGTTTTTCTTTCCCTTTCCTCACTTTAAATCATGACACCTCAAACTGAATTTAATAGGAGGAATCTGGAGGAGGCTCTTGAGAGTCCCCTGGACTGCAAGGAGAAGAAACCTATCCATTTTGAAGGAAATCAACCCTGAGTGCTCACTGGAAGGACAGATCCTGAAGCTGAGGCTCCAATACTTTGGCCATCTCATGAGAAGAGAAGATCCCCTGGAAAAGACCTTGATGTTGGGAAAGTGTGAAGGCAAGAGGAGGAGGGGACGACAGAGGACAAGATGGGTGGACAGTGTCATCGAAGCAACCAATATGAATTTGACCCAATTCTGGGAGGCAGTGGAAGATAGGAGGGCCTGGCATGCTCTGGTCCATGGGGTCACAAAGAGTCGGACAGGCTAAGTGACTAAACAACAACAACAACAACATGGGCATGTCTCTGTGTCCCATTAAACCATGGGTACTGGCAGCTTTTTGCAAGGTCCTAGATTTGTTGTATAAAAATCAGTGTGTTTACAATTTGTCCATGTGCACAGCGTGTTCACAAGGTCAGCTGAAAGTATGTTGTTAGCAACTTCCCTCTGTCCATGCCATATTGTGTGCTCTAGTATGGGGTGCATAAAAGGGTTAACATTTGTAAATCCTTTTATGCATGTCATACTACAGCGTTTAAAACTTTCCTCCAGACAATGAATTATGTCTTTAAGAAAGAAGGCAACATATGAAGGTTGCCGTGTTTCAGGCCATTGGTTAGGGTCTCAGGGCTTGGCTACATTTCTTTGGATCTGCAGTCATGGAGACAGATCTCAGGGAGAGGAGTGCTGAAGGAGAAAAATTCTCAAGGTTTCTTTCTTTGTTTGTTCTGACATGTAGCTTTAACGCTCCCATGCTAGCCATTCTTGATTCATTTCTGTGGCAGCACAAGGACCTACAATTATCCTAAAGCCATGCCCTTGTGACATTCCAATTTCCTGCTTCTTGGTTTCAGGTATTTCCCCTCAGTCTTAGGGACTGGGATATTGCTAGTCTAGCAGTCCTTCATTAAACTGTCTGCCTGGGATTCAAGTTCAGGTTTTTGAAATATTCAGAGATGTTGCAGAATCTTGGTGGTGGTGATGGTGGTGGTGGTGGTGATGATGATGATAGCATACAGTCAGGTTAATTCTGACTTATTGTGACTCTCTCTAGGTTTTTCTAGGTAGAGAATACACAGGATTTGCCATTTCCTTCTTTTAGGGGCGCCCTGGAGCTCTGCAGGTTTCCCATGACTATAAAGGCTGGCTGTTCTTCCCGGAGGCACAGTG